CATTATTTTTGATCTAATGTTTTGACCCTTCCTCCCCTTTTTGTACATTGCCCTGTCCTCTTCCCTTGGTGCCCAAGTGTGAATTGTATTGAAACTTATTGTCTGTTTCTAATATATAATAGGGCCATATCTATACAAAACATGTCTCTGAAGTGCAATATCTGAAAGGTCTTTCCCAGCTTTGGAATGTCACTGTTAAGGCCATTTAACTAAGATTATTTTTGTTGACTTCATACATTATCATATACAAATGTGATCATAAACCAACACACTTTTTAAAGATATAGTTTATACGTTTATGGTGGACCAACTTGCGCTTGCGCAATGCAAATCGGGTAGTCACAGTCTACTCTACCGGCAGAAACTCAGCTAAATGCTGCCGTGATTAAACGGCATATTATGTTCCAAACCACATCAAGCATTATTTCTGAAACAGAATGGAGCTCAAATGCTTTTCTCTTGTGGGTTTACCACAAGGTGAGTTCCTTTTTATTTCCTGCTTTTTTAGACATACTCACTCCAGTACAGGTTAGCTCTGAGTGTTAGCAATGCTTGCTAATGTAAACAAAGACCATATTACTTCAAAAACTCGTCAGGCATTGTTTCTGATTACAGAATTTCTGAAACCTTAGTTTTAGGAACCACCTGGGGGTCAAACTCCATCAGGTGGCGTTGTCAGCAGCCAACCTTTTCACCTAGCAGCAGCACCCCGCCACATTGGCAATAAACCTGTTTCTGATTCTGATTCTATAACAGTGTATTTTAAGTAATTGTAATAAAGTTAAAAACGTTACTTGGTAGTGATTGTTTGAATTACATATAATAATTCATACAGAAATAGATTTCACATGAAGTGCAGCTGTAAACCGGATATGTTATTTTAGATAAAAGTCACATTTTGTGTATTATGCAATGCCAGCATAAAACATAATTACAGTATATTAGTGAAGAGTAATTTTTAAGTCAAACTGTGCTGGTTTTAATGAGTATCCTATTTTTCTGATTGACTGCCTTTTTCCTATCAGAAGGAAATATATATATATATATCTATATAAAAAAATGTGTAAGGTTTTCCTTTGTGTTTCTAAAAGTGTACCATGATACATAGCCTGTGGGAATCTAAAGAAAGATATTTAGTGAAACGATGAAGATGTTTTGCATGGATCTCTGGGTGTGTTTCACATGCGTTACATAAACACACAGGTAGGGTGTGGTGCTTTTTCTCCGTGGAAGCAGGTGTCCGTCTGTGAGTCAGTGAGTCAGGGAACCGGTTAAAGATTATTGATGTCACTCAGTCTGCCTGGGGACTGTTGGTGCCGCTGGCCTTTTGGCACATACACAGAGATATGAGGTAATATGTGGTTAGTTTCCGAAAGGAGATTTCCCAAGAGATTATGTTTTAATCGGCAGATCATTTGTTCTCTAAACAATGGATGACAACACAAACAAAAGCCATTGAGAAAGGGAAATGCCACAAGATTTCTTTTGAATTTCCTTTTCAACTGACGCAAATTAAGAAAAAAAAGTCTATCAAGTGAAGGTGGGAAATATCTTCATCAATTAGTGCCAGTTGATTTTAAAGCTATCATTTTATTTGAAAAATAAGCCAAAAATAAAAGACCAAATGAATTGCCAGAAAAGTAAAGAAACAGTGTTTGGGTGAATAACACTCTTAATGTATGCCTATTTTTTACTTTACCTCTGTAAGACATGTTTCGTCTTCTTGCTGATTACAGAAGAGGTTTTTCCATTCAGAGTTGCCAGGTAGAAAGCCTGTTCCCTATAAAACTGTTCCTGCCAACTATTAAATAAGCAGCAGGTTCAGGTTCAGGTTCTTTATTTGTACCCGTAGGTAGATTTTGTTTGCAGAGAAAAAGACAAGGGATCCATCCTGACACACTCTAAAAACAAACACAAACAACAGACACGTTTCTAATAAAAGGACTAATAAAAGGTACAAGTACACCCTGCTCCGTCAAATCTCAAAAACATTTAAGAAGAAAAACACTAGTACAAACATGGACATTCAAAATTCATAATTAAATAAATAAATAGGCATCTGTGTGACACTCCTATGATGTGTTAATATGTGCAATAGCTGCTGGGATAAAACAGTTTTTATACCGCTTCGTTCTACTCTTTGGGACAACTAACCTCTGGCCCGAAGGAAGAAGCTTAAATTCTGAGTCCAGAGGGTGGGAGTCATCGTCTAATAATATGGAGCTGGATAACCGCTTTGCTGAGGTACAGGGTCTCCAGGTTTAGCTGTGGCTCACCGATCAGTCTGCTGGACCATTTTATGATCTGATTCATAGAGTTTCTGCTCTTAGGGTTAGGGTTAGGGTTACCAAACCATGACATTAATGAAAAAGACAGAATTGACTCGATAAAAGCATGATACAACATGATCATCATGGTTTTGTCAATGTTAAAATAAGACAGTTTCCTAAGACAGTACCAACGCTGGTGCCCCTTTTGCACACAGCTTCACAGTTTGGATCAGAGCTCAATTTTGAGTCAATAATTAAGCATGAGCAATCATACAGTACAAATACACCGCACGCACACACACACACACACACACACACACACACACACACACACACACACACACACACACACACACACACACACACACACACACACACACACACACACACACACACACACACACACACACACACGTGCTTTGTCCGAACAAACATCTAGAGTCAAACAGAAATCTGAATAATCTCCACTAAGCCCTCCTTAAGCCTTTATAAACAGAAAATAAACACTATTATTAATGGTTAATAAGTGCATACTACACCGGCTACCAAAACAAAGCTCAAAGACGCTAAATAACTCAATGTCCACTCACTTCCTTTCTTCCGGAAAACTTTCAGGCAATCTTCATGATATTTTCAACATACAAAATATTTTTATTCTTTGTGTCTTTTTTCATATTTTAGTTTTTCATATTTAATGAATATACTATCTACTATACTAAGATGTACCGTATGTATGTGTTCATTATGATGAGACCTACTTTTTTGTAGCATGCTATATTACATTATTATTTTATTTTGACATATTAGACATATTAGAGCATTTTTGACATAATTATTTTACCAGGACCTTTTTTTTGGACACCGCATGCTATGAATTATTTTAATTGTATTCAACATACTATACTATGTCTTCTTGTTGACATACTATACACGTTCTCAGCATACTATATTAAGAGTTCATTACTTTTTGACTTATTTCTTAGTTTTACTAAAATATGACTTTTTTCATATTCAAAGAAAGATATACAGTATACTATGACTTATTTCATGATATTTAAAAAACAAAAACACTATACTATGATTTTTAAGACATACTATACTGTAATGTACTGTATACTGTACTACTAAACATTTTCATAATGATATTTTCAACAAACAATACTATGACATGTTTTATGATATTTTTGGTATACAATTCAATGACATTTTTCATAATTTTCAACAAATTACAGTATTTATTTTTTCATTATATTTTCAACAGATGCTATGACTTTTTTCATAATGGGTCAACATGGAGCCATGCTTAAGGGAACCTCTGCAGATTTCAGGAGGTGAACTGGTGACTCCACCAGTCCACAATCGACACTTGGTCCATGCTGGAATACACCCGGCGACTGTAACTGTTTATAACTTATTAATTGTATATATGCTGGTAAAAAATGCTAAATGGAGGCAGCCATTTAATAATAGTGCAGGAACCTGTGTTCACACTTTCCGGGTGTATTTCTGGTAACCCAAGTGGTTTGGACCAGAGACAAGTCATAATTGATCAGAGAATAGTAAAGCAATGGTGGTTCCCGCTTTGCAGCAGCGTAGCATATATACTGCACTAGTTGTCCAAACATTTAAAGCATATGTATATACAGTATGTTTGTATTGTTTGCAGGGGACGCTTAATGCAGTAGTGTTTTTTTAATTCGAAAGAAAGTGTCCCCTAGTCTAAAGAAGTGACGCCCATTATGGATAGATAAAAACACTTTCTGGGAAAAATGGTTGTGTAACAGACTGGGCTGAACAACATGTCTCTTCCTGCTCCTTTGTGGAGATCTCTATCTTGAGATCGTCATGCCGGTACAGAGATGTATTATTGCATTCAACGACATAAGCAGGAACCATTGTATAATAGAGAAATATACATAACACATATTTAGTGTCTTTTGTGAGTACGTTTCTTTCCTTATTTGCAGTACAACTTTTTCCTACTTTTTACATCCTTTTGTTTCTTTTAGCAAATACTCAGATCCACTTAAGTAATAGTACTAATACCACGGTCTAAACAAACTCCATTACAGGTAAAATAACTGAGTTCAAAAGGTTACTTCAGTAAAAGAACATAAGTATTATCAGCTAAATGTGCTCTAGTATCAAAAGTAAAAGTAATCATTGTGCACAGTGCCACATATACATTTGTTGAACATTAAAACAAATACATATAGGAGTTCTTCAATATTATAATACATCAATGTGGGGCACATTTTGGAAGGTACTGAGTAAATTAGTAATACATATATAAACACTGTATTTATGTAAAAAGTAACTACAAGTGTCAAATATATGTATTCCAGTAAAATTACAACATTTTCCTCTGAATTGTACTGAAGTAGAAGTACGAAGTAGCAGAAAATAGACTCAAGTAAAGTATTTTGAGTAGTTCATTGAGTATTCCACCACTGCCTTTAGCGAACAGTCTTCAGAGGTTGAGTGGTATTAGAAGCCTGGGTCATAATTTGTGTCGTTTAGCAGTTGTTAGTATGTTTTAAAGAGTTAGAGGTGTTACTGTATGTTGCCAAACAGGTGAAGCAATGACTCATCACATTTACTGTAACAGCATTCAGTATTTCTCAGCAGTGTGTGTGTGTGTGTGTGTGTGTGTGTGTGTGTGTGTGTGTGTGTGTGTGTGTGTGTGTGTGTGCGTGTGTGTGGGAGTTACCAAGGAAAATAAAGGGACAGAGCGGGTACCTGACAGTGTGTTTTCTGTCTGATTTCCCAGGTAAGCGTAGTCTTTGTCTTCCTCCACATTCCTCCTCCTCCTCCTCTCAGCTCCCTCTCTGGTTTTCACCTGACTGAAACATGAACCTCTGAAACGGGAAACCTGTGGCATCGCAACACGAGAGCTGAGGTCAGCCGCTCTGACAAAGACCTCAATGTTCACAGTAAGAGCCTTTACAGTTTTTTTCAGTTGCTATCACACTAAAACTAAACTAAAGCATCATTATTTAAACTGACATTCAAAGAGCAAAACCTCAGCTCAAATCTCCAAAACTCTAAACACATTTTAGAGTTTGCACCCAATTTGCAATTCAACATGGCACTTTTTCATGCACATGGTTCTCTAAGTGAGACACAGAAATCTGACTGTTGTAATGTGAGGTGCAGGTGACAAGGAGACTTTCGTTCAAAAGAAAGGCATTTTATTTTTTAGCCTTCAACAAAAACTTTATTTTACAGAAACATAAACTGCTTTTTCAAATACATGCCTCGTTCTGCTCTTTCACCAAAAAGGGAAATAAATGCCACCCCTCCCCTATATTCCCAGTCACATATCGATTGCCCGCCTTCCCAATTCAACCTGGCCAATCAGGTCCTGACTCTGAAGGGGGAGTGAAGAGTTAAACACAAACATAAACATTGTTTTTTACATGTCACAAAATCCTCATAGTAAATTCATTATTTTAGCTACAAAAATATTGTAAATTCAAAAACAACAAGATCTGCACAAAACTGATAGTTTTAAGTTAATTGGCATACATTACATCACACATTTTCCGACCAATGATATCCAAGAATCGCCTACTCATACAGCAGATATAAGGAGTGCTTTGGAGGCGTGCTCCCTTTTAAGCACTGGCACAAGATGGCTTCCAGGTCTGAACAAAGGAAATGGTGATTCATTTTGTGATTGTGTGTTTCTAAGCCATTTTGAAAAGTGAGATTAATTTAAATATATATATATATATGTATATTCATTTGCCTATGTACATTTATATTATAAACTTTAAATGAAATATAAACAATTCTTTAGAAAGATGCCTATCTTTCTTTACATCAAACAGTTTAGCCAAATGTTAGTGAAGGAGTGTGTGCCTCCTCAACCTGACATATTCACTTGTTTGCCATTCTCAAAACACTGCCATCGAAAATGCTACACACATGAACCAATTATAGGTTTTTTTCAATTGCTAGAACACATTTCTTGAAAGCATGGATCAATTTCTCAAAATACTTAACACAATTCACAAAACCACACACCCAAAGTGTAAGACGCCTCATATACAGATGTAGCAGCTTATTTCAGACTCCATCTTACAGCTTCCTGCCTGCTACCTGCTTGCTACCTGCCTAAGACCAGCATCTGGGAATGTTAAGCCCTCCCACTATTTTCCAAGAGGGCGTTGCCAGATTTTCAATTTCAGGATTTAACCAGGAGATGGCGCTTCATTCACAAATACAGAAAGACAACTTTCATGGACTTTCAGTTTTGTTTAGAAGAGCATTTGAACACATCAATATTTTAGATCAAATAAAGTATATCTAGTCTTGTAATTCAATAATATATAGTCTTTATATATTAAATAATCATAATAATAATGTAAATGTTTACATTACACTTCTTTATTTGTCATGCGGTCTACCTACGCTGTAAAATGTATTATCTCTTCGATTTACACACGGCATCTATTGCACTTCTGTCCATCCTGGGAGAGGGATCCCTCCTCTGTTGCTCTCCCCGAGGTTTCTCCCATTTTTCCCTTTGAAATGTGGGTTTTTCTCTGGAAGTTTTTCCTTGTACGATGTGAGGGTGTCGTTTTCTCATACTGATATTCTGAACAAACTGTGCTGTTGTATTTGCTCTAAAGTGTCTTTACTGTAGGGTATTTTTATTATATGTACAGCACTTTGGCTCGACCAAAAATCGTTTAAAAATGTGCTATATAAATAAAACTTGATTTAATTTGATGCTCATACTTTTACCTTTACAATCGTTTGCTTTAATATGCAGTATATTTTTTGTATATTTTTGTGTTTGCTTCCTCCTGCTCCCTTTCGGACACATACTGTATGATTTATTATTATTATTAATATGAAGATATTATTAAGATAAGATAAGATAAGATGTTACTTTATTGATTGAACATTTTAGTTTAGAATGTGCTATCCCACGGTAATTCAGAAGGCTCACAGGTCACATTCCAACCATTATTTAAAACAATGGGTGCTTTCATAATAATGATGAGAAACTATGAAATAAGAAATGAATCAAATTAAAATGTAATTATCATATCATATATTATATAGTGTATTGTATTATTAAGTAATATCATACATTAACCCCATTATAGCAGATGCCACATTGAATGGATGAACACATTTATGCATCAATAATTACAACAGAGTATTTCTAAATACAAGTTGTAATCTAATCCTCTTATTTTACACAATTGACAGACAGTGTAATTTGTACGTCAAGTCATATATTGTCATAACCTTTTTGTGTGAAATAATTAATATTATTATTATTTCCGCCCACTGTTTGGCGAGCTGCATGAGAAACTGACGGGCTGTCAGGAGAGAGAGAGAGGGAGAGAGGAAAAGAGAGGATCCGTTTCTCCCGTGTTATTATCCAAAGTTAATGTAAACTTTTGAATAATGTACTTATTATTATTATAGTGATGAACATTAAAAACAAAGCACGTTGGCTGATTTTGGACCCTCTCACTATTTATTTTCACTACTTTAATTAAATGTTTGATAAGTGCATGCAGATCACAGTACAGTATGCTCGTTCAGTAAAACACGTACACAGATAAATTATTTTGTATTCCAAAAATCAGGAAGTAAAGTCCCCTGGTTTGTGACAAGATGTGAAGTCAACAGATAGTCACTCAGAGGGGGGTACTATTTATTTTCAAATGCATATAGGCAATGCCATTCATTTACATGTAGGCAACACTGCTCTTCCAGTCAATAATTTGAATTTGAATGGGATGGGGAGACGTGTGTGATTAAAAATGAGTGGCCAAACTAGGACTTCGTTTTTCAAAAGAGAAAATGCAGATATTACACTCAGAAAAGAAATGGTAGACATATCAGTACTCTTAGTGCCAAGTTGTCTCAGACAATCTGCATTTCCTAATGTGGGACAGTTCTGTGCAAAATGTGGGACACTGAAAAGTCTATGTTAAAAAGCCTCAGTCACCTTAATTCATGTAATGAAAACATCTCAGGTCAGTAACACTCAAAGCTAAATGTGCAATACCATGTTCAGCTATGTTACTATTTATAATGTTATTGTTGTTAGTAACAACAATAACATTATAAATAGTAACATAGAGGAAGTCTTCTCTCTCTCTCACTCTGGGTAGATTGCTGATGGAGGAGCCTACAATTGACTGCCTTGTAACGACAATATTTCTCTTTGTTTTGTATGACCTTTGTTGAAAGTGTGTGTGTTGAGAGGTGGAGGAGTTAGGTAAGTCTGGGGTACCCTGTACACTTCTCATCACGTAGATAACTAATGTTAAGACACACTAGGTTAGCGGATTGTTGCCACCCCTGTATTCTGTTTTTGTCCAATTCTGAGTAGTTTAGTTAGTGAGGGTTTTTGTTGAGTTTTGGTTTCAAAGGATAGACGTAGAGATAGGCCTGGTTTTGTTATGCTTGTTTCTTTTGTTTGGCACAATCCTTCGACTCCTCCTCCTCCTCACACACAGAGTATTTCTGTAAGGTTTTCTGTTCAGTTTCTAGGTTTACAAGAATAAACCTTTTGTCAAACCTTTACGCTGACTCTCATTTTATTGGTTGTTGTGTGTTATTGTCTCCAGGTCCCCTAGACCTTAGTGGGGACGTAACACAAATGGAAACATCTTCTGTTGTAACAACTTGTTACAACAGAAGATGTTTTTCTTTATATTGAAGTTAAATGCATCAATCTGTGACACTTTTATTTTGTAAGATAGCAAGGGGGGGCATATTGTGATAACCAGGCCTGTCATAAAATGCACCCCACCCAAAAAGATGTTTGTATTAATCCCACCCTCAAGCATTTTTTAGGGTATAGTTGTAGGACTTGTACCAATGAATGGAGCAAGTTTCATGAATGTGACACTTTTATTATGTAAGATAGCAAGGGGTGCATAACGTGGCAAAAATATGCTGACAAAGACTATGTAAACATATATTTAGATTATTATATGACAAATATGTAGAATTAAACAATACATTTTAACGCACGTGTATACAGACAGGACGTAACAATAATAACAAAAAAAAAGATTAAAAAAAACAAAAACTGAAAAGGAAGTGACGAATTAATTTCGACACCACTACCATCAAATACGGAGCGAAAAGTTTAACCACAAGAATCAAGACTATATGAGCTACCACTAAACAACTCACAGTCTGAAAATTACCATTAATAAAAACCCTGAATGTTTACTTTTCGTTTTAAATATCGTTTTAAGGTGTAAACATGTCATTTAGGAACTGCGACAGCATAAATATGCGAACACAAACCTACAGACTGCTGGAGAAGAGATATCACAGGGGGGGGGTTGGGACACACACATTCCGATGGCCAATTAGTTTTAAACAAAGAGTATACTCAACATAGGCCTACAGTAGTCAGGGGGGTAGGGGCTGGTGAACGGTATGGTCAATGTTTGTAAACACTGTGACATTTTGACTTTATTTGATCATTTCAGTTAAAAACTAACGTTCATATTTCTCTTTTTGAGAAGAGCAATATGAATATGTTAGTGGCTGACCCAGCCCCATGGTCTGTCACAGTAGTGCGGGAAAGAGAAGTGCACTGGCGGTGTTTTGCCTGGCTGGACCTGTAATTTACAGGAAAGGAGTGCGCGCTACTAAAGAGACGCCATGGAAACCAAACAATGGTGTTGCTGTATTGAAGTCCGAGTGGAAACAGTAGCATTTGGAGCGTTATGTTTGAATGAAACAGCCAGGTCGTGACTCACAAAAAAAAGTGTTACTTCACTAACTGTAAGCTTGTCACTCAGAGTAACCTACAGTTAACTTAACTGCTGGAGAAGAAAGATCAGGGGGGGGGAGAGAGCTCTGGCTGATGGGCCATTAGGTGTGTAAACACACGGCATTCAGACTGTTTAAAAAACGGTAACAACGGACTATTTTTCTT